CTCGCCGGACTGCCACCCAGTTGCTTTGGATTTTCCCCAAATTCCTTTGCCTTTGATTGATGGCAAGGGTTTCTACTATATCTGTCCCCGTCGTTTCATTCAAGAAAAATTCTGAAATTATGCAAACTGAGCCCAAAAATGTGAAATTATGGGATTCTGTTAATTTTAAAACAAAGAATGATAAAGGGAAAAAAATAAGAAATTACGCAAACTTTGCTAAATTATGCGGGGTGCATAAAACCACGGGGCCAGCTACATGAGCCTTGTGATGGCAAAGTGTTGAGTGATTAAATCTAAATAATTTTGCTCACTCTGGGAAATTGGGTCAGACGAAATTAACAATTTATTTTTTTGCAATAGATTGGCCAAGTTGGTTTTTATTACATGTAATTAATTTTTATCTTTTTGGAGGGGTGTGGGTATTCTTTTTTAAAATTAAAAACTGTAATTCTTCCATCTTTTCCGAATTTTGTGATGTTGCCAATTTCGTTTAGTACGGAATGTTTTTTGATTGCATGGAATGTCATTCATTTTGGAAATGTTTACTTTTTTTAAAACTTGTTTTGTATTTCCAAAGGGCTTTCTTCATATCTCCTTTCATTTTTCATATCTCCCCTCATTCTTCATATCTCCTTTCATTTTTCATATCTCCTCTCATTTTTCATGTATATCTCCTCTCATTCTTCATATCTCCTCTCATGTTTCATATCTTCTCATTTTTCATGTAAATCTCCTCTCATTCTTCATATCTCCTCTCATTTTTCATATCTCCTCATTTTTCACGTATACCTCCTCTCATTCTTCATATCTCCTCTCATTCTTCATATCTCCTCATTTTTCATGTACATCTCCTCTCATTCTTCAATCTCGTCTCATTTTTCATATCTCCTCTCATTTTTCATATCTCCTCTCATTCTTCATATCTCCTCACATTCTTCATATCTCCTCTCATTAAGATAAAGTGTGGAACTCGGAAATACTTTTCATATCTCTTGGAGTAAGTTACGCTGGCATAGTCAAGTGCTTGAGAGCACCATGTTTTTAGACAGATGCAGAATTCTCAGGCTTCTTTTGGCATCGGTGACGGAATGGTTAGGCTCTTACTCTTAGTCTTAGCCATTGCACGAAAAAAAAAAAAACATATCCCCCTCCCCCCATGATTCCCACTTGGTGAAGTGCATTGTATTGAGCGTCTCCGTTTATCTGCCGGGATGCTGTGTTATTAGATTCTGCTTGGATCAGACAAGACAGGTAGGGTTGAAGCAACTGAAATTTAATTCATGTGTTTGAATTCTCTGAAAGCTAATTTTCATCCTGTTTTTCTCAAAATTATTCTGCTTCTTATATTATAAGTAATAGGCATATATATATTAATATAGACTGCTGAAGCTTTCAGGTAACCACATTGTCTTTCCAAAACTGAGAGGGTTGTAATTCTTATTGCTCTTCTGTGCTTGGGCTTACTAAATTGTATTGTAAAGTTGTCTTTGTGTTGTTCATCATTGCCTTTCTCACCCTGCACCAGGGTATAGGCCACGGACAAACACTTTCTCACCCTGCACCAGGGTATAGGCCACGGACAAACACTTTCTCATCCTGCACCAGGGTATAGGCCACGGACAAACACTTTCTCATCCTGCACCAGAGTATAGGCCACGGACAAACACTTTCTCACCCTGCACCAGAGTATGTCTCCCCACTTTTCTGTACATCGATTTCTGTAATTCTTCTCCAGGTTCCACGCGGCCTTCCCCTTGATCTCTTACCCTGTGGGTTCCAATCCAAAACTTTCTCTGTTATGCAGCTGCCTGACTTTCTGAGAGTATGTCCAATCCATCGCCACCGCTTTCTTCCTACCTCATCTCTGACTGGGATCTGTCTTGTTTTCCTTAAGTGTTGTTCCTTTGGTGGGTCGGTTTTTTTAAGGCTCAGCGCAGGGTTCGTACGGGTCTTGGGGAAACTGGAAAACTCTTGGAATGTTGTTTTTGTCTTTCAAGTATTCCAAGACAAAGAAAACTCTTGGAATGTTGTTTTTGTCTTCTAAGTATTCCAAGACATCGACAACTATTGGAATGTTGTTTTTGTCTTCCAAGACATAGAAAACTCTTGGAATGGTGTGTTTGTCTTCCAAGACATAGATCTAGAAACTCTTGAATGTTGTTTTTGTCTTCCAATACATAGATCTAGAAAACTCTTGGAATGCTATTTTTATCTTCCAAGTCGAAGACATAAAATCTAACTGAAAACTCTTGGAATTTTGGGAAGTTGGCAAAATTCATGGAAAAGTTTTGGAAAACAAATTTTAAACTAGATCTATTGTAAAAATATTTTCTCGAGGTTTAGAAGTTTAAAGGCTTCGACTTTACGCGTTCTGAAGTGTAACATAATGTATTTTTGCATGCTGAACGAAAAATTTTGTTCCCAATTGACTTTGTATATTTGTTTTTGAAAAACTAAATCTGGTCTTGAAAATTCTTGGGAAAAAAAATGTCTCTCCTTCCCTCCCCCCTCTCCCTCCCCCCTCACTCTCTCACTTGGATCTATCAGACATTGACGTTAAATCCAGATATCTCTCCTTCCCTCCCCCCTTTCCTTCCCCCCTCTCCCTCCCCCTCCCCTC